AATAAATATAAATATTATCTTTAAATTTTTAATTTTAAAAAATTATTATTATTTTTAAATAAAAAAAGTAATTTATTAATATTGACATGAAAATTAAAATCACCACGTGTCACACACTAAATGCCGAAGGAGCAAAGTTCAAGAAAGAACAATTTTAACATAATAAAATTACAGGATATTCTTAAGAACAATTATAATTATAACATGATAAAACAAAAAGCAGAAGACTTTCTTCCTCGTCTTCTTGTTTAACTTTTTTATAATTATATAAGAAAATATTTTTCTTTTCCCTCCATACCCTTCCACCTAAGCACAATAACCCATTAAGCACTTAATTTTAATTTTAATTTTTTTTTGTTATTTTCGGAACAGCTGATATATCCTATCTCAGAAAAAAAAAAAAAAATGAAACGCCTCGGAGGCAAAAGGCGCGTTTCTATGTCTTCACTGTCCCAAAAATGTTGGTAGAGCACGCGCCACCCCTCTGGATAAAACCTCTTGTATTGGACGGCATTCTTTCTTCGTTATCTCCACGCATTGTGTGTCACCGACTAACTCCGGCCATCCAACTTCTCAACCCCCACTATCGCTGGAACTCGTGCCGTACAATTGCTATGGCAGCACCCAAAGTCGATTCATCGGGCGAGTCATTGCCGGAACACGCCGCCGGGAAGTGGTACTCAGTACCAGATCTCCGACTCCGAGATCACCGTTTCATTGCTCCTCTGGATTACAGAGATCCCGCTACTTCCTTAAAGATCTCCATTTTCGCGCGGGAAGTCGTTCCTGGTACGGAGCCACCTCCTGCGATCAACTTGAAGTTGAATTATTTCTGTTAAATCACTGTTTAATGTTGAAATATCGCGGATTATGTTTTCTTTTTTCGAATTGGTCCTAGAATGTGGAAGTAGAAGTGCTAAAGTCAACCTAGCTTTATTTTTCCTTTTTGCAGGACATGTTAGGTTTTCATTTTTCTACCTTGGAAATAATTGGATTCTTAAGTGTACTTGGATGCTGACTTGTCTATTCCGTTAATGCAGTTAGTATTTTTTTCCATATATATGTGTATATATATATATATATATATATATATATGATTCTACTAAAGAGGAATCTGAATTGAGGATTTTCAGCATATGAAACTAGTAGAGTGGTAGTATATGTGCTGATTAATGTAGAATTGTTTTGCAGTTGGTAAAGAAGATCAACCAATGCCATGCCTCCTGTTTCTGCAAGGTGGACCGAGTTTTGAATCCCCGAGACCAACAGAAGGCAGTGGATGGATACTTAAAGCATGCGAGGAGTTTCGTGTTATATTAATGGATCAGGCATGGTTTCCTTGAGGCTTATTTGATGAAATGGAGTACTTGTGCTTGTTGTTATTGAGGGTTGATGATTTGTTTTTTCTTGCAGAGAGGAACAGGATTATCAACTCCGCTGACAACATCGTCTATGCTGCAATTTAAGTCTGCCCTGGATTTGGCTGAATACTTGAAACATTTTCGTGCTGACAGTATAGTCAATGATGCTGAGTTTATCCGTGTTCGACTTGTTACTTGTTCTGGACATTGGACAGTTTTGGGCCAGGTATTAAAATTACCGTTCAATTTTGACATTTCTGTTTGTGCATTTCACCATTCCATATGACTATGAAGAGTGTCTAGTGATGATCAATTAATCTGTATGCATGCTGTGAGTTTATGACTTTTTGTGTTTTTAATCTTTTCTCACTCTTTCTGGCAGAGCTATGGAGGTTTTTGTGCCATCACCTGTTTGAGTTTTGCACCACAAGGATTGAAACAAGTGCTTCTGACTGGAGGAATACCTCCAATTGGAGATGGATGCACTGCTGATACTGTTTATGGAGCTTGCTTTGAGCAGGTTGCTCGTCAGAATGAAAAGTACTACAAGAGATATCCTCAGGATATTGAAGTTGTTCATGAAATTGTAAACCATTTGGCAGAATTGGAAGGGGGTGGGGTGAGGCTTGTCTGCATTTGATCTTGGTTCTTTACTCAAAGCTGATATTTTAGCTAAACCTTTTTAATGTAAACTCCTTTTTGTGCAGGTTCCTCTTCCATCTGGGGGCATCTTGACCCCAAGGGGGCTGCAACTTCTTGGTCTTTCTGGTTTAGGATCTAGTGCAGGTTTTGAACGCCTTCATTTTCTATAAGCATCATAATTATGCACCTTTTTTTCTTTTTGTTCTAAAAGCTCAGATTTCAGTGTTATGTCACTGCATCCACATCTTTTTGTAATCTCTTAAAAACAAATGTAGGTTTGAGAGGTTCTGGGATCCTGTAATAGTTCCAGGAGCACCTAAGAAGATTAGTTTCTACTTCTTGAATGCTGTAAGGTACTTTTTAGTTTCTTATTTATATTTTGGAAGTTCAAGTCACATTGTCGGAAGTAATCTTGATTCATTTTGTTTGAACAGTTTGACAATTGGCTGGGTTTTGATTCAAACCCACTCTATGCTCTTATCCACAAGTCAATTTACTGTCAGGTAGATTATGCTGTTTATTCTATATTCCATTTGCTTGATGAGCGACATTTTGCTGCGTACATTACCCTTAAAAAGGAAGGAAAAAAATCAGTATGTGGTTGAACAGGTTTTACCATGGCCAAATCCAAACAATACCATTAGGACTCTTATCTCAGTTGCAATATTCCACTCACATGAATATATGATTTGATTTTTGAGTTATTTGTTGTTTCTTAATTCTATAAAGGTTGCTTCATCTCGGTGGTCTGCTCAACGATTGAGGGCTAAACATGAGAACAAATTTGATGCAATCAAGGCTGCAGGTGAAGGACGCCCTGTACTTTTTACAGGGGAGGTAAGACCATCGTGTTTTATTGATTACAAGTTTGCAACTGCAACATTTACATGCAAGCATCAGAGTCTGTTTGACATAGATCTGAGAAAGCCAACTAGCCTTCTGAACAAACCTTCTGCAGTAGCACCACGACAAGTGCCTGAGTGTCTAAGAGCAAATATACAACCAGGTGATGAACTGGTTATGGCAGCCAATGCCATACCACTCAATGACATGGTGAGTTTTCCCATTTCTGTGATGATCCTTCAAAAACATCAAAGGAGAAGCTGTGATGAAATCAATAAAACATTCAAGAAGCTTTCAAAAAAAATGAAAGAACTAAGAAGAGTAAAAAAAAAAAGGGATTAACTACTTTCCCATTTCTCATTATACTTTAACTGAGTCTTGATTATTTAGTGCAGGCCCAGAGTAACAGGAGTGGTGAGTGCACAGAGCAAAATGAGAAAGAAAAAGCTAGAAACTGGGACGTTATAAAAGGAAATGAAGCTAGCAGAACAATGAGAAATACCACAAATAGAACTTAGCCTTACAGTAAATTGAGGTTACTTACAAACTCAAGTGCTTGACCTTATTGAAACAGTTCTAAGTATTAAACAAATAGAACTTTCAGTACATTGAGGCTTTTTTACACTTCTGACATATTTTAAATTTTCTTAATGTAACAATTTACATTATTGATAAATGAATTACCGTACAATTTTAAATCATAATTAAGTTATTTGAAAATTTTAGCTAAAGAAAACAGTTGCAGAAGTACATAGATGCAGAAGCAAGCCTGAAAATCACAGCCATTAAAGCATGATTTTAAGTAGTAGGCGTAACATCATACCAGGACAAATCATGAAAGAAACCAGTAAATTAAACAAATTTAACCTTGAGGAAATCGTTGAGGTTGTGTTTGAAACCTGAATTTGAATTTGATGAGTGTAATTAAAATATATGTATTTCAAATACATGTATTTTAAAATATATTATTTGGATTGAATTAAAAAAAATGAATTTCAAATACATGTATTTTTAAATACATTGTTTGAATATTTTAAAATACTATGTATTTAAAATTGAATTTCTCTATTAGATTAAATCTTCTTCTAATTATTGTTTAAATTTAATAAATTCAAAGTTAACAATTTTAATCTTTCAAAATATTATTGAAATTACCTCAAGACAAACAAATTGGATAAGAAAAAAAAGGAACAATGAC